GGCCCCAGCAACTTGAGCTGGAATGAGCATCCAGGGATTCCTTCCTTACATGTTCAGCAAGGAGCCTCTCCAGCTCTTCTACATCCCATTTCCATGTCAGGAAGAAAACTGACTGTCTTATGATATGGCCAAGAAGTAGGCCAGGGAAAGTTCAAAACTTCCACAGTCTGTGAGGACAGTTTCAGCCATAGAGACAGGCTAAACTGTGAGAGCTGGATACAAGTAGCTTTAAAGATAAAAACAAAGTCTTTTTGCTTGAGAGGAGCACGGGTCTGGAATTTAATAAGTGTAGATCTTGCTTTTAAATAACTTTCTGAAAGCAAATTTCAGGTATGGGTCCTGCTACTGTCCTGGAAAAAGTCAAATAGGAAAAGAAATAGTAAAAAAATGAAGGAGGGGGTGCTGTGAAAAGGAGGAGATCTTGCAGGGACCCTGAGGTGCCCCTATTAATGCCAAGTCAAAGGTGCGAAATATCTGAATCGTTTCAAATGCAGCATAGTCAAGTACAGATCTACCTTTTATTGAGCCCATACATTGAATATATCTTGCGTGCAAGTCATTCAATTTGATTAGATTACAAGAGTGCCAGAGCCCTGGCACAGGCTGCCCAGAGAGGCTGTGGAGTCTCCTTCTCTGGAGATCTTCAAAGCCGCCTGGATGCCGCCCTTGCCCATGCTCTGGGTGTCCCTGCTGGAGCAGGGGGTTGTGCTGGATGATCCCTAGAGGTCCCTTCCAACCTCAGACATTCTGGGAGTCTCTGTGATGGGAATCATCACTGATGTAACCAGCTTGTTTTTTCAGTCTCGCCACTGAGGAAAAACAGTCCTTCTTATTTGAATGTTAGATAGAGGCAGACATTGCAGCTTTAAAAAGTATAAAGGTAAAATGGTTAAGTGTAAATGATAGCGATAACAAAACATAATACAATAAGGGAAATTTTTAATCCAGAATGTTACTGTTGTGGCCGCCTCTGCTGTTGTCCTCAAGAAGCTTTGCCCACTTTCCCTCGGCTCTACCCAGTGCAAGTGTTTGGTAACAGTTGCCTGTGATTCTGCTGTCCGCATGAGCCTTGCACTGAGCCTGCTGCTTGCCTTGCAGCACAGGCAGGTTTCTAGCATGGCAACCCCTCTTCCTCCTGGCGCTCTAGCCCTAACAAATCTTCCTTGCGGGATGTGGTCTGTGTGTAGGAGCTCAGGCAGGCAGTTCAAGCAGAGTGCAATTCCTCTTGCCTCCTGTTGACCTGTGTTCCCCTCCTGGCTGCCGTTTGAAGCCTGGACAGCTTCAGGTGTGTCTGAGGCAACAGACAACCTTGGTCCTTTTAAAAAAGGAGGAAAGGAGGAAGAGACAAGTTGCTGGGTTATCTCATGGTCCTGTCTTTCTTCTGAAACCAACAGCTACACCTTGGGAGGGATACATCAAAAACCTCCTGAATCTCTGTGTTGGTGTACGGATCTCCCTAGGATCCCAGTAATCATTAACCACGTAACTGTCTGTGAAAGCTGCCAGACCTTGTAGAGCAAGAGCCGAGAATCTGGAGAGTCCTCCCGGCACCCTGTGTCCCCCGTGTGCCCTCCGTGCACCTTGTAGCTGCATCCAATGGCTGGAGAGGCCGCATGTCAGATGTGGCACGTGTCACTGTGGTCGTGCAAAGAGCCTGAAGTTTGTCCTTTGGCGGCAAATCAGATTTTGATCCTGAGTAGGGGGTGTGTGTTGTTTTTTTGTAGGGTTATATCTTTGTCTTTAGTTACTGCACACAAGTGTGTGGACGCTGGCTCCATCAGGACGGTCACGCTGTCAGCGAGAGGACGTGAGTTGTTTTTGAAAAGCGAAGGAAGCACCATCCCTCATCCCTGGTGTAGTAAGGAAGGCACTACTGTATGTTGTTGCCGGTACAGGCTTTATCTTCCCCAAAAGTAAGTGTTTTGTCTGCTTCTTACCAGTAACTGCTGGGATGGTATTATTGTACTTTAGAACAAACTTCATGAGCATTTAATTGGGCAGGTAAGGGGAAACTTTAGGGTGAAGCTTGACTACATCTAGAAAAAGACCTAACCAGGAGGTGCTGGCGAGCAAATCTGTAGCCTCTGCTCCTGGTGCCGTGACTAAGCGGCTGCCTGAGATATTCAAGGCCAACATGAGACAACACGAGTATTTTAGCCAAGGTGAAGTAGGGATGAATAGCAAGGCTTCCAGCCATGGTGAGAGCCTGAAGTCTAATCTTGGCATGGGAAACCAAAGAACAGGCTGACATGTTCCCCAGTGTGTCTCCCAGCTCGCTGCCCGCTCTTAATAACCACGTGATAATGGCTGTTCCTGTTTAGCCTCTGGAAAGCCTCTCAGTAATTGCAAGTTCTATTCTTAAGGCCTTGTGGCTGCTCTTTCTCTGTGAGATGATCATGTGCTGAGATGTGAAGCCTAACTGATGTGTGCCTTCTAGGGTTGCTTTTGTCATTACAGTGTAATGCTGGTTCTATAGGCAATGGAGGACGAGCTGGGAAGTCGAAGCCAGGGGAAGAGAGGAGAGAGCCTGGCACCTTTTGCACCGTGAGTGTAGGAGGAGGAAGGCATCCTGCAGAGACATCCCCAAAAGCAACGTGCCTCCTCTTGCAGGCTTGCTGAAACCTTGCTGGCCACATCGGAAAAGCAGGAATTACTGCTGGTTCTTCTGTTGTTTCACTCTTGTGTTTCCGGGAGATATAAACATGCTCAGTTTTGTAGCTGCTGAACTAATCCTTCAGTGTTTTTGTGAGCCACATCCACTTGGACCTTACAATAGCAGAAGCAGCTGGTCTTCAAAATTAGTAGTAGTAGTTTTGCAAGGGTTATGAAGAGCAAGTTTCTGCTTGCATATTTTTTTTTCTTTCTTGACATTACTGAGATTGCTTCATCTTTCCATTGCAAGTTGTCTTCCCTTTGCAATGCTGCGCTTTGGTGTAAGGAAACTGTAGTATGTAGATACTTCAATAAATTACTTGCATTATTTGCAGAATTGTCTTCTGAAACATCTTCTGATCAGCTGTCTTGAGGGGAATATAGTTTGCTGCAGAGTACTAAGTTATTAAGAAGTACTACAGGAGAATCCTGCATAGATATTTTCAGCTCTTAACGTTTTAAATATTAGCGTAAATTGCCAAAATATTAATACAGAATTGTAACTTACTAGTTGTGTGCAAGCTTTGAGGTTTTGGAGGAGTGTTAGCACCCCACACACGTTCCTCAGCGGAAGACACCTCTCAGCAGCAGGCAGAAATTATGAAGGTGTTAGTAATAGCAGGTCCTCTTCAGATGTCTCAAAGCTTTCCTTAAAGAATTGTCCCCTCACAGAGCTTAAATTTGTATTGTAGAGATGGATGTGTATGTATGTGTGTGGTGTTTTTTATATAAGAATCTGGTGAACATGTTCAATGCATGGTGGTGTTGTGTACCCAGGCTCACAGCCTTTATTAAGTGGAATTGAAAAGCTCTCCCATAGAAGTTAATGAGACTTTTTTTTCCTTTGGGATCAGTTTTTGAGACCATAGTACTGCCCATTCAATATGTCACCTGTAAGTAAAATGAAGTACAGTTAAGCCAGCCAGATAGGAGCTATTTGACTGTAGTGGTGCTGCAGTCAACACCGTCTTTCTCAGTATCGTGGTGTGATCCTTGCCTGTGCTGAATCAACCCTGGGGTTTAATGTATGGAGAGGGCTTCTTGAGCACTGGTAGAAGGCAGATTGTTTGTGAGATGGTCCCTGGTTATTCTTACCAAGCCTTTTAACGCGGCACATCCCAACTTCCCGCAGTCGTCTTGGGCGCTGCTTGCAGCAACGCGGCTCCCTCGGCTGCCCTGCGTGCCCGGTGAGCGTCTCGCTGGCCCTGCGCTGAGCTGGCTGTGCTGCACCCCGCTGGGCGTTAGTCCTCTCCAGTGCAGGATGTGCTCTATGGCCTCCTTGGATTCCCTTAGTTTCCCCTTGGGAGTAAGCTCTTCCCTAGGCCTGTGACACAAGACATCGAGTGGCACATGTCACTTTGGAGCCTGGCAGCGTCACAGACAAGGATGACACCTGACTCTTGCTAAGAGCAGGTAGGTGGTGGAGAGAGCCTGTGGTTTACAGGCATCCTCCCTGTGCCTGAAATCAGGCGTGAGCTCCTGATCAGCACTTGCTGTGGTGCCTGCGCTGGTGTTGAGTATGGAGGGACTCATGGAGGATACAGGAATTGGAGGAGGAGGTGGTGGTCAGGGAAGCAGTGGATCCTTCGCAGGGGAGAACACATTTGTGTCTTCGTGCTGGGTGTAATCAAGAACAAGGGGACCACGTGTGGCTTGATTTACTCCAGCGCTGTGTTGTGGCTGCCAGGAAAAGGCAGTTTTCTTCCTTTGAGGAGTCCGAAGTTACGTGGGTGCCTGTGATTCCTGGGCTCTGGATAGATCAGGGGTGATGCGGAGCACGTTGCACGTAGGAATGTGACACAGAGCAGAATGATTTTGTTTCCCAATGCTGATCCCTTTGGGAGGAGTTCTGTCAAGTGCAGTGGGAAGGCATTGCAAGGAATGGTTTCAATGGTACACAGCTCGCTTGTCTGCCTGAATTTTTAAGAATTTTCATGTTCTTGGAAGGGTGGGGTTTTATTTTTTAATTTTTTAATATTTAGTATTGTGGAAGAAATGAGGTATGATACTGGGCAGCCTTGTCATATGCCTCATCATACGCCAGTCATTCAGCCTAATGAAACTTGTCATAGAATCTCCTTGCTCGTTTAAGGGTTTTGCTTACTTGAATAAGTGACCGTTTAAGTAGCTAGCGGGTTTACAAAGTTATGGAGGTTGCAGCTGAATCCGTGAAGATGCAGACATTATATAGGGCCCAAATTCTTCCACGTATTTATATGCATGTGCATGACTTTTCTCTGTGGGTGGGGAGAGAAGCAGCCTATCGGGAAGATAAAAGCCCTGCCTTTGACCTGGCGCTCGGGTGCTGCCGCTTCCAGCTCTGCTACTCTGAAGCTTTCTAGTATGAAGGGGTTCAGAAGAAGGTCCCCAAGCGCTGATGCTAGAGCAGGGATTAAACTGGGTGTATTCTGTCTTAGCTGAGTGCTTTTTAAGAGAAGCTTCTTGTTTTAATGGCTTCAGCAATATCATCAATACTTTCCCCGCTCTGTCTTATTGAATCTTTGTGTTGTTTGCTGCTTGTGGTTATAAAATAAACAAGACTCTATGTTTTTCTTTTTTTCTCTTGTGTGTGTTTATACTTTAGAGAAATTCTCATCCATGTAATAAATTCCCAACGAATGTGCCTGAACTCTTGGGAGTTCAAACCACCTTAAAGGGCCAAGCAACGCTCAGAAGCAGTGCTCATAGCAAAAGGTATCCAGTTTCTATTTATTTCCCTTTTAAAAGAAGCTCGCCCTCTTTCTCTCTGTTCTCTTTTTTTCTTGCTATTTTTCTTGTTTCCTCTTGTTTCAGTGTGTTAAAATAAGGCAGTTCTCAAAGTCTCTGTTAGCATAAAGCACCAACTGTTTTTCAACAGTTACTGTTACGCTGCTGCTTGGCAGGCTTGAATTAATTGTAAGGTGTGGTGAACGTTTTCTCGATAGTGTTATTGTGCTAGATGCAGTAGCCTCTGTTTATTGGGAGTGATGATAGAGATTTTAATTCTATTCTCTGCTATTTAGATACGCTGGAGTGCCAGAGGGCAGTAGTCTGCCTTGAAGAAACCCTCATTGTTAAAAGGTAGTTGGTGATAAGATTTTAATATAGCTGAGCTGTTGGTCAAGAAACAAATGTATCTGGTGTCTGTGCAGAGGATTGGGAGGGCCGCCAGCACAGAGCGTGGAACCAACTTTGGGATGGTCTGGGTTCTTGGATACTCTGAGTTGTGGTCGCTTCACCCTCCTTGCATGCTGGAAATCGGATGCTAGCAGCCAATGTTTGGACACTATGGCGCTTCATGAGCTCGTACCACTTCCAAATTGCACTGGAGATGTACACATGGGTAATATTCTCTGTTGCTTCTACAAATCAGATCAATCTACAGTCATTGGAGTGGCTTCTTTATTGTGAATGCTTAAACTCTATATCCTTTCCACTGCATTTCTCTTGCCCTAGTTTTTAAAAAGTTGAGGGGAAGTAGAAGCAGCAATAGACAAACCTAACTTGTTTCTGCTTGTTTTTTGAATTGTCAGTGGAGAATGGACAAAACAGAGTTTTCTGGAGCTGACTGTAGAACAGCTTATATGTAACGTGTGGACATAGGGGAAGGGGAGGCAGAGACTTGGACTGAAAAAAATGTAGCTGGTTGGTTAAGAACTTGTATGACTTAAACCTTTTGATAGTTGAAACTCCTGATGATGTAATGAGTATGATGAGGGTGTAGTCCTTTGTCCTTGATGTTCCTGGTGACACAGGTTGCTGTTGCAGTGCTGCTCTGGGTCACTGCAGGCATGACATGGTCTTGGCTACCTCTGTTTCTGTTTGTGATCAGCAGCTTGGGATTGGCTTGTCTGTTTTTCTGCTGTGGAAATGTTGTTTACATACAAACATGTTTGTATGTTTAATGTGGCTATGAATTTCATCTTAGGGGGACCAGTAAAGTACTGCAGCGCTCAAACACTGTGTCCAGGTTCTTGTATAATGGGGTTTTGTTAGAAGGGTTTTTTTGGGCACCTGCTCCGTGTTCGCTGATCCTAGAAAATGCTCAAAGGTTCCCAACAAGGAACTTGACACTTCGAATGTGCAAGACTGCAAGTCCCAGTTGTTGCTGTAAAAAGAGAGTAGGAATGACTTGGGGTGTGTCTGTGAACATCAGGAGCTCCTTCTGCAGCATTCTTTGCTTCCAAGATAGTGGAGCTCCTAATCCCTTACAAACACAGTGAAGAACAAGCCATCCGCATGCAGGGGACACTGCTTCAGTCACTGGTACATGGGCACAAATCTGGCAGAAACTTTTCAGTAGGAGATGTACTTAAATTCTTGTGTTTTGCTATTGAATGTTAATTTTTATACTGATGGTGTTCACAGGCACAGTTGCAAATTCTATTCAGCATACTAAAAATTGTTATTTAAATATTTATCTGTGCTGGTATCTTAAGTAGTTAACTTGATATCTTACATAGTTAACTGTGAATGCTGGTTTGAGTGAGAAGATGACTTCTGCTTTGGAGGGATGATATTGACAGAACCTACATGAATAAAAAAGTCTCTATCCCGCTACTTTAAACCAAGAAGGCAGCAATCTTGCTGTAGTTTCCTCCTTTGTTGCAGCCCTGCTCTTGCTAGCCTTGGCCAAGACCACCAGAAATGCTCCTGGGGTCTCGCTGAGCAGGAAGATTTCCTGATTTTCTGCCAGTCTCTACTGTATTTTGATGCCAATTAAAGTAGTGAGAAGGGTGAGGGTCCCACAGGGCACAGTCTGTCTGTGCAAAGCAGTCCTACTCTGTGTCCCCACAGCAAAGGGATTCAGTCCTATCCCAAGTCTATGTGAAGAACACTCTGTAGAGAGGATACGTCAGTCACTGTCATTTAAGCAAACCACTTGCTGGCAGGTCTCAGTATAGGGAATGATGGACAGTGGGATGGCAGGTACTGAGCTCAGTATGTGTGAGGGTGGGCTGCCCTTAGCTGTTTCCTTCAGGCAGCAGTTAAGCATTACCTGCTTACAAGGAACATGACTCATATGCAGAGCTTAAAATAGACAAATGGATTAATGAGCTGAGAAGCAGCAGTTAGCATGGGGCTGAGGCTGGATCAGGAGCACTCTGGGCAGGCAACAGGTCATCAGGAGGGTATGTGGAGCTCCAGGCTGGGATCCCTGCTCAAAGGGGCCAGAGCTGGGGTGGTGGCCTGTGGGGACCTCTCTGGCTTCAGTGTGGAGGGATTGTCCCATCTCAACTCGGCTTTTCCAGGTCTGTCTTGTTGTCACTGTGGCCAAAGCAGGGCGCTAAGGAGGCCTTGCGCTTGGCCGGGGTGTCCTGCGTCCCAGCCCTGCATTGTAGGGGAATATCATGGGCCTGTGCCCCCAAGATGTGTCCTGAGAATGTAGAAGAAATTTCTGCTTTTTTTGTCCTTTGTGCTGCGTTTTGCTTATTGAACTTGGTAGTTTATGTTATAAAACTTGCTTGTTTATTTTACATCTAAATAATTACCCTCATTTGGGAACACCAGGCAAATATGCTTGAGCTCCCTCTATATTTAGGAGGTGTCTATTATGGAAAGAAATCATCTGGTAAAAT